CAGATATATCCATAGATAACTGACTGTGGTGTTATAATGATATAAACATCCCATTCCAATAAACAGCATAGCCATTAGTGATACAAATATTTAATAATCCTTATTTAAACGGCAATCGATCTATGTGGGCGTTCTCGTTTTATTTGGGTAAAATGTCGCGTATGGACTTAGTGCACGCACATAGGTAGGATAATCAGTCTTGAAAACAAAATAAAACTGAAAATTGCTTTTTTTTCTATTTTAAAACGTAAAACAGGATAATATTATACATCTGGAAATACTTCTCACAATTTATTGTCATACGACCTTGTAAATTATTGTAATGTTGGTAGGGAATTAATGATTTATTTAAAAATAATCTGTAATAACTCCTGAAGATTATTTAATAGTTGTATTATTATTAAAGTAATTAATAATTTATAATGTGTTAAAACGAAAAAAAATAAGGTATAACAATATAATCACGGAATACATTAAAGCTATGAATAAAATACAAGTTAATATTATGTAAAGAATAGGTCACTGATGGTCACCGGAATAATTTGACTATAAACACATTTAGAAAAACATTAGAAGTTGTTCTGTTTCAAGGTTTTGAATGTTAGAGTAGAATACCACTATAATGCAATACATGTGTTGAATTCTAGTTATATGATAAATCATTGACTACAAAACGACGATTAAGAGTGGAATAATTTTAAAATAAATACATTCATTACCTAATCTACTGTGAACCTAAAACGAAAACCTATGAAAAATCAATGGTTATCATTTCCCTGCATATTTCTGTATTTTATTTGCATTTTATCCTGCAGAAATAGTTTATCTATTTTTGTGAAATACGATTATAATATTATACACGAAATGGTACGAGCCGACTGGTAAACTACACAAATGTACGAATTACCATTTTGTAGAAAAATCCATTATAAGTTGAACTGCATAAAATATTACCAAATATATCATTAATGTATTATTGATTTTTGGTCAAGCAAATAAAACTCCTAAAATTTTGTTGATATTCACATAAAACATATAATGGCTTATGATTGTCTGTCACGCAATCAACTAATTTGTAATGGAAGATAACAATAATTTATTGATGGAAAAAATGTACTATTTTCATAATTTTTAAAATATATTGGTTTCAAAAAGTTGATATTTAACGAACAATAAATTTAAAAGTAAGCTGGGAATAGTTCATATAAGTTTATATACTAGATGTCGAGTGTACTTCGTTTTTTAATTGGTACTTATAGTATAAATGTAGTAGGTATAAATATTTTAAGTTAATAATAAATACTAAACAATTGTATAACAAAAAATGATTGCAATCGGAAAAATCTTGTTTGCTTATATGTCGTTAGAGTTATTAATTTTGTTAACATAATATAAAATTCAAACGTTTATAAAAAATATTTATGTGTACAATATTTATTTTAACTTCTCTAAGACAAAATATTGAGAAACCTTGTATGAAATGTTTAAGAATTTTTATTTACAATTGTATTATATGAAACGTAAATCAAAATTTTAAATGCGTTTGGCTATCTATAAATATTTCTCACTGAGCCGAAATATTTGATAATATCAATTTAAATAGTTCGTAAAATGTTCAAGCTTTTACGGTTATTCACTTTTAAATTACAATTAAATAGATTATGCTAACTGGTTTAGCGTAAATATCTCAATATTTTCATATTTTTTATAATCGACTAGCGACTAGGATATTTTTACTCTAGAGTACAAACTAGATTCATTTTTCTACTGAAAACCTTTCTCGTAGATGAATTTGGAATAATTTTTTCTGCTATAAAATGTATCTTAAGGTTAAAAAAAAAATGAATAAGTAAATACATTTTAAAACCAGTACATCCGTTGTTCCTATAACAGTTTTCATATTATAAAAAGATGGCTATTAACAAAAAAATTGTATATAATTAATAAATGAATACAGCCAATTTTTTTTTTTTAAATTAGTTGAATTAAAAGGTTCCAATTCTTAAATTTTGTAAAAATAAATTACTTTAACAGTCCAACTAGCTATATTAACAATTATGTAACATTACATTTAATTTAAAGTAGGTACAATATGTTAATATATCAACATAGTAGTTTTAAAATCGATTAAAAAAATTAATTAAGTTAATACATAAACGAAAAATTGTTTTTCCTTTAACTGCTTGTGAGTTATATTGTTAACAATTAATAATGAAATTGTTCAGGAGTCCATGAAAAAGTCAATATTAAAAAATAAAATAAACCCACATGACTATTATTTTGACAAAATTGACTTGTATTAAGATAAATATTAACTTACATAATATTAAATAATATTGGTAACAATTATACCAATTGTTGGTGAATGGTGGTGATAAACGACAGACTACATGGTATTAAAATTATTGAGTGATATTATATTATTTGATCATAAATATGAGGACATTTTTTATTTCTTACGTATTTTTGTTGTACTTTTTATTTTTTTTATGCTTTCAAAAAATCCTTGGCCACTGAGCAACAGAAGCAGTTTATACAAAAGCACAAACTCATGACAACATTACTTGAAGTACCTCGACCATAATATAGTGTACCTAATTGGCAGCGTTACTTTTCTACGGGCATAATCGATTCAATCGGCTTCAACTAACATATATTTTGTATATCATATAAGCCTTATACAAATAACTTTTGGAAACAGGATGGAAAATGCTGTCGTGTTTCACCAATCATGATTAGTAAATCCTAATAGTAAGACCTAGCTTTAATGACTTGATATATAAATAAATATATATATTTATTTATATACTTGTGTATGTACAAAGCGATCAGGCTTTGACTCTGACATGATATTATAATATGTACCTATACAAATCCGATGGGATCGTGGACGTCGTATCCCAGTATCATATAGCATAATCATTTTTAAGGGTGAGTATGATGACTTGCAGAGGTAGATGAAGTGGTGAGATTGTGTAACGAAAATAAAACGTAGATTTTATACCGTATGAATATTATAATTTATAGTAAAGGAGCATATTTGAAACCATAGAACAACTCCCTCTCTTAATCCGTGGGCGTAACTAGAATTCAAAACTAACAAACAAATATATACGTTATTTGAATTTAAAAACATTTTTTATTCAATTCGTTATTAATATACAAAATAAATACTAAAGAACTGCTCACGTATAAATATAACGCTAAATTATATAAGTATTTATTAGTTCATTTATTTATCTTCACGCAATTTAAAATATTTTTAATCTTCATAAAATAAAAATATTACCTAAATAGTACATCATATGAAAAATTCTTGACTGAAATAAATTTCAGTCCTTACTCTTGTAAGCAAGTATATATTTAACACTAATTATTTTTTTTTTTTTTTAATTTATTGATATTTGTGTAAATCAAGTGTTTAAATATCTTTTTTAAATAAAATATGTTGAAAAATATACAGATGACTGCATAAACCACGTGATTTCTAGTAGTATTTTTTGAAAATTTTCAATTTTTTTTTTTATTAATTTTTTAAGACATTTTGAAGGCATGAGAGAAACCAGACAACATCGTTGAGCGTACTTATCAATAAATATTATTAAATTATAAGAGTGAAAAATAGTAAAAATGTATAAATGTATAGACCCATGGGCGTCCATAGGTAATATTTTAGGGGGGGGGGGGTCAAAATAAAAATTTTTTCGAATGTAAGATAATAAAGATTTAATGTTATTTTTCACATATAAATGTATACACTATACATGCATGTTATATTTTTATTTGTATATATATATATATATATATATAGTGTATTCATAATAATTGCAATACGAATAAATAAATAAATAAATAATAATTTTAATAAGTATATAAAAAAATAGAAATTAAATAATATAATTAAGTATATTATTCCGCGGTATCAATAAATAAGAACTGTAAATGTCTTCGTTTTATTCCAAACATATTAATAACATCCTGAATGAAAGTATCCTTATTTGCGTTAGGTTAAAATATTTGTAGTACCTATATTGTGATCTTAATATATTTACCAGAAATTATCTGCGATAAATAATTTTACGTATGGGTTATACGGAATATCTATGATGTTAATATACGATAACAATGTGTATATTTTTATATTTATTTCATATCTTAAAAGTGATTTCAACAAATAATTTGCCTCGGTAATAAGGTAATATTGTGGTAATATTTTTTTCCAGGGTAGGGGGGGGGGGCAAGTGCCCTGTCTCCCCCCCCAATGGGCGCCCATGTATAGACCGTTTTTGTCTTTTTATCCGGTAGGTACTAATAAATCAGATGATGGAATAGTGAAATCCTTCCTACTATTCTATCCTTTTCCACAATTTCAAACGGACTACATTCAAGCCAGCAGCATACAGATAACACTTAACAACACTCCTTTAAATATATTTGCAGTATACAGTCCACGACGCTACACCATAACTTTAAATAAATTAAACCACTTTTTTCTTACTCTTGGTCATACGTTTATAATAGGAAGTTACCTAAATGCAAAAAATATACAATGGGGCTGCCGTGTAAACAACCCTTGCAAAAACATGAAATTTCAACACAAATCCATAATTTTAAAGTACACTTTTTTTCTACTTTCTACTTACTATTATACATTTCTACGTTATCTACTCACATCACAACACATCAACTTAAAAAACAAACTTCTCTTATATAAACTCCTACTCAAACCGATCTGGGCATATGGTATTCAATTATGGGGTGTAGATAAACCGTTCAATCTAAATAAAATTCAAATATTCCAATCAAAATGCCTCCGTCAAATCATGTTATTTATTATCTCCATTCATACGCTTATTGCAAAATAATAATTACAGATTGTGTATTTAATAATAATTGTAAAAAAAAAAAAAAAAAACTAATCAATAATGTAAGAGAAATAATTTCGAAAACGTTAATATTTTTTGAAACAACAAGTGGTTCACCATAAAACTGATACTTACCAATGTAGGATTGCGATCCACTCCCGTATGGCATGTACGCGGAAGACATTTGTCCGGGAAACCGGTGTGGCTGGAAATTTTCTGGCTCGGAAAAGTGTTCTGCATCATGGTGCAATGCATGCACTGGTACCACGATCAGCGTGTTTGGTTCGATGGTGCCATTGCCACTTGTGCCGGGCACAACATACGATTTGGTGGTCATACGACATACAACGGTAACCAGTGGATACTTTCGCAACGTTTCTACGGAAGAAAGAAATAAATTTAAAATATAAGTAAATCAAGATTATTATTAAATTGATATATTGCCAGTATAAAATTGTTAGGTAAATTATTGTACCTAACCTAACCTAACCTACGTCTATGTTAGTCATCAACATATAATTTTTTTTTTTTTAATGGTTTATGTAAACTGTAGATTTTTCGATTTATACGAAATTAAGCTTTTAGAAACTTAGTCCAAGTGAAATAATTAATACAATTAAAATAATATATAGTATTACAATATAATATTATTATAGAAAGTATCTACTCGGGGTTTAATTAAGTTTACAAATGTTTAATTGTTCCTTCAAAGTGCATACTGATATAATATCTACTAATGCAGTGTTTTCCAATTTGTTGATATGGCGAGCCACTATTAAATTTAAACCATTTCCTGTATCAGGAAATCCATACAAAAAGAGTTAGTTCTTGGTACCATTATACCGTAAAAAAGTGCATAAAGAATAAGAATTAAATTTAATATTTAAATATTATTATTATATGCTTACTATAAAAAATGTCGCTTCTCAATATTTTGTCAATAGGTTGATAAACACTGTAATTATCTATTTTAGGTTCCGATTTAAAATGTATCGTGATTTATATTGTAGTTTGCATTTTTATTTTATAAAATTATTAACTTTAAGAATTGTTAAAAATATATTAATTTATTAACTAACAATGTATTTAATTAAAATTTTACTAACTTATATTGGATTTGAAAAAAAAAATATGCATTCCAGTTAAATTAATCCTAAAATATTTAACTTTCCTTTAAACATCAAATAGTGAGCTATGATCAGAAATAGAAAACTTACTTAACTAGTCATAACTTATAACTGGTATCAAGTTATACTAAAATTGTCATTTGTATACATACACATAGAAATCAGAGAATACAGTTTATTGTACTTGTCTTGTGTCATGTTATTGTTATTGTTCTTGTTATTTTTTTTTTTATTATTATTATTGTATATTTTAGGTAGGTACCTAATATTGTTTTTTTTTAAATTTAAATTATGAATAAATTAATATTTAAGGTTCGCAAAAATATTTATAATTATTAAATTAAATACAAACAATATATTTATAGCAAGACAGACGTTTATATAAAAAATAAGTTTAAATTAGTCTATTTAGTCTATGTATAAAATATTTAAAATATACATAAAAATAAAAATTCTAATATTCAATGAAATTATTTTATTAACTATTTAAGAATACCTATAACTATAACTTCTATTAAAATTAAAAATATAGTATAGATTTTTTTTTGCTTTGGTTTAAGTTATTTCGAGCAATGATTTTCATCTAAATTTCCTAATTATTATAATTAATATAAAATTAATTATACCTATATTTTTTTAAATGAGATTAAATAAATAGAGACAGCGAAAATATTAAATATTAGAGTAGCGTGGAGTAATAATTCTTGAATAATTCCTGCATAGACTTAAACCTTGTGACGAGAATTTAGGAATGTGTGAGATTCAAAGTTGCATTAATTAAGAAAATATGAAAGATATTTATAGGATCAAATGTTTCTCTAGGGTAAATCATTTATAATAAGGGAAAAAACATTGTTTCCCATAGTAAATATCATAATATTATAATACCTACTAAACTAAATTCTTAATAAAATATCGTTGGTGACCGGATTACTGGAGAGAATTAACTATAACATATTATGTTTACGGATAAAATGTTTTTAAATACATATTCTATATTCTGAACAAAGCGATGAATGTATTGATTTTACAATGATGTGCGTGTGTGGATGTGTGTGCTTGTATACGATAAGTAGTTGAAGATATAGTTCAATCTTCAATTATTAAGATATCTAATAGAAAATATTTAGTTTTTAATTAAACACAACAGCACATATATCATCTGTATACATATATAAATAATTAATGTAATGTTTACAGCAAAATTTCAAGCAATTCAAGTTACTGTATTACCACTATTACCAATAGTAAAATAAATTACATGAATAGCAATCTAAATATATCTAATAGTACCTAATAAAATTTATTTACCAAGTTTTTTGCCATTATTCTTTGTATATTATACGTAATTTTATCTTTCTAGTGTTCTCATTTTTTAATAGGTTTATTTTATTATTGTAAAAATATTTTGTACCTTATTGGTTTACAAGCAGCAATTAAACCATCTTTTCTACATAGGTGGGTCGTTATTGTCAATATATACATACATATATATATATATATATTAGATAATTTATGGATCATAATTGTTATTAAAAATCTTAATATATAATGAAGTACTAACTATTTAGTAATATAGGAAATACCTATATATTGTAGAAGTACATGTCTACTATCTAGAGAGTAACAAAAAAAACTGATTAATATATAGTAATCCGTGTACATTGTACATATTATAGTATTATACTAAATACAATCGTATACAATTATCAAATATGATTTATTTTGAAAATGAACGATAACTTTTCATTTTCATAATCTTGGACATGTGAGTATGGTATTCAAATAGCTTTATAATTATTAATCCGTGAAGATTGTTTGTCAATTATAACTGTTCAAACAAAAATAATAAACCATTCTACTACGACTGTGTGGTTACTATAGGTAAATAGCTAACACATAAAAGGAATGATTAAATTTATAAATACACACTTGTTTTTAAAACCATAGTCCATAAGTCAATAATGCTAATAAATTAATTTCCAGAAAATAATTAGATTAATTAATATTTTTGCTATCCAAGTTTTTTTACCTGGTTTCTTATATTATTTAAAATATACGTGTAAATTAACTTTGTGTGTTTATTTAGATATTTACATATTTTAAATCGTAATAAAAACAACTAACATAATAATTATAATGTTAGTGACATATTAAAGTTTTATATTTTAATTCATGATTGTACTAAGCTATTAAAATAGGAAGTTTACGAAACTGAAGTTTTCTAATAACTTCTCAAAAAAATAAGACGGCGATGAGGGCATTTAACTATTTTGTTTTACAATATGTTTTTTTATACGACAAACTTTTAATCCTAATATCATAATATTATGTTTAATAAAAAATAACATCATAATATTTAGAAAATATCCCGTAAATCACATTATATTGATTAATGACAAATGGATGGATGAAGAATTGTATGTTCTTAATTATTTTTATGCTGAAAATTTGTATATTATATTCGTATTATACTTTTACAGCAATGCCAAAGTAATATACTATTATTGATATACTATTTTAAAATTCTTTATCAAGTTTTAATATATAACAAACTGGTATATTTTCTCAAAATACTTTGTGGTTAGCCTGAAGGATTTAGAATACTTTTTATTTTTAGAATAGTTTTCGTTTTACTTTTGGCAAGTCTATAAGATCTATAGTACGAAGCAATGGAATTTACTTTGTTCCGTATATTTTCCCGACAAAAATTCGAATTCTATATGTACTTCATTATTTCATACTGAAAAAACTTTGGAATGAAGTATATAAAACATATATATTGCTAAAAAAACTATTTTGTTCGACGCTTTACACAAAATATAATGTTATAAAAATGAACTTATTTTTAAAATTCATTTAGAAAAGCAAATTTTATCATATAATAATTACATAAGACAATATTTTAATTTTAATAAAATATTATTACCATAGAAGAATTTGAATGATAAAATATAATAACGTGTGCGCAACTTTGATTTGTGCGAGAGAAGTAAATACTAAGCTATTTATTTTTAGTATACTTGCATATATTATAAATTTATAAATATATTTTTTTTAAAACCAAACATTTAAATTATCATTCTTAAGTTCTATAATTGCAGAGGAAAAATGTGAATAATTGATCAATTATCGCATTCAAACTACGTGCAAAATATTTAAAAACCATAATTTTTTAAAATATATTCTTTTGAAAAGTTATTAATGTACAAAAGCACGATATAAAACCATGTCAACTTCAAATAGTTTTTTTGAATTCGTTGGGTTAGGTTTCAAATAAAATTGTGGTAAAATTATTGAAGATAGAACTACGTCTCTAAATTTAGTTAAAGTTTTTTTTTTGTAAAATTATATGGTGTTCTTAAATATAAAATTACAATGAGCAATAAAAGAAAATTAGAATCAAAAATCACTGTTTTTACAAAATAAGATTGTATTTATATTTTTTAACTCATTTTATAGTGAGACGTAGATTTTCTAATACAAGAATATCTTTATCAACCAAGCATTTAATTATATGATAATATACATAAACATAAAACTATAGAATTCTGTGATAAAACCGTAATGTCTATCCGAGAAATAATATTATAATATTCCATCAATAAACTATCTCATTATTTTATCTTTAAGATGTATTTTAAGTATGTACATTGTGATCGTCATGTTAATAAATAAAATAAACCATTTACTTAAGATATGGTACTATGGTATATTTAAAAGTATATACCTACGTTTGGTTAAACATTGATATTTACAGTACGTCAACGTATATTTTAATAATCAAGTTTAACCATGAACACCCGAGACTTTCTTACTATAATATAAGGTACTATCCTCACTAGTATGTTAAAAGTGATCTTCACTTACATCCACAAAAATGTAAATATGCTCACAAAATATACTCTATCTGTCGAATAAATTGCGTAAAACGGTTGGTTTCACAACATCAAAGTTTCTGAGTCCGTTGAGGTCTTCCAAATCAAAAAAGCGGAATATTTGAACGCTCAATAAGAAATAATGTATTCCAGTGTTTGTGCAAAATCAACTTTAAAATGACATTCATATGTTTGTATAAAAACTGTTTTAAATTTCACAACAGCTAATAATTAATGATAAAGATCAACATACATAAGCTCAACATCGATTTTTGCTACATCACAAAAAATAATTTTCAACAATTTCCAATCTTTAATTGTAACGAGTTTTGGTATTTTAGAAATTTTTTCTTGTTCAATAGACATTATAAAA